CTGTACGGGGGCCTCTCACTGTTGTGGCCTCTCCCATTGCGGAGCACAGGCTCTGGACGCGCAGGCTCTGCGGCCATGGCTCACGGGCCCAGCCGCTCCGCGGCATGTGGGATCTTCCCGGACCGGGGAACGAACCCGTGTCCCCTGCATCGGCAGGCGGACTCTCAAACCACTGCGCCACCAGGGAAGCCCTAGAATTCTACATTTTTAAGCTACTACTTATCTTAGTCTGTGCAGGCGTTCAAGAATCGACACAATCTCAGACAATTTCTCCAGATGACTCTTACACCTTAAAATCCCTCAAGGCTTAGAAACGAGTGAAGCTTTAATTTTCGGAGCAGCCATTTGGAGGCACCTCTCAGCCCTGGTGAAAGGCTTTGACCTGTGCCCTCTGTGATCAGTCATGGCCAACCCAGCGAAGGACAGGCAGGGTCAGGGCTCACGACTTAGAAACGTCTGCAGGTTCCCAGCATCAGGAGCAGACAAACCATGGCTTCCTTTGGGTCACTATTCTGAAGCCCAGCAGTGGATCCCACTTTCTGTGGAATCCTGCATTTCCAAGTGTGTACCACCACCAACCCGTTCACGGAAATGATCTGGGACGTCAGCCTTTGCGTGTGTCCTACGGCAACGGTTCTCAAACTTTAACGTGAAAGGAGCTTGCTAAATTGCAGTCTTTGGCCTCACCCCAGAGAACCTGACCGGGTAGATCTGGGGGAGAGCCTAGGAATCTGCATTTTCAACTAGTGGCTCAAGTCAGGGATGCTGGTATGCATGGACCACAGTTGGAGAGAAGTTATATTGTGCTGTCATTCCTGCCCTGAGGCTTACACAAATTCTCAGCTTTCCAATTAAAAGCTTGTCTGCAGCTGCCTCCCCTGCAAATACGGAATATGTGGGGCAGTTTGTGTTTATTGATTGTGCAGACTGCCCAGCAGGCAGGGTAAGGCTCCCGGGAGGGATCGCTTTGTCTCTTCCCTTCTTATCCTTCAGGCTGTCGACAGGCTGCATCACCCACGTCTCCCTTTCCTGCTCAGCGCTCAAACACTGAGAAGAAATCGATTTGTCAAAACGGTAAGTCAGGTTTTTTCTTTTGTAAATGTCCTTCCGTGAACACCGCGTTGGTCTGGCTACAGCCTTATACTTTATCTCCTGATGACTGATGGCTTCAACCCTTAAGCTGCGTGAGCCCTGCGTACCTTCTAGTTCCCACCTCTTGGAGGATGAAATCTCTCAACCTCCGGATAAAAAGCATCCCACCCTCCTTGAGGGGTCATGAAAGCAGAGCTGGTCCTGCCGATCCCGGCAGAACCGCTAGAGGACACGGTTTCTTTTTAAATCTGTCGCAGAACCATTTTATCCAAAAAAATCAGCTTCCTCTTTAAATTCTTCTTTGAGTACAAGCTCCAAGCCTGCGCTCCGGAGCCCGTGAGGTGGCAGCCTCCACCCTACCAAAAAAGTCATAAGAAATGAGAGATTTACTTTCTGTGCTCCGCTAACGGGAAACTCACGGGCCCTCCTAGGTAATCACGCAGAGCGTCGGGAGTTTATTTAGCATCCACAGAGCACCCAACACATAGTTTTTCCCTTTAATGTCCCCAAAATCCATACCTTCTTTGACTGTGGTACGAAGCATCTGGAAACTCATTGTATTACGGACAACACATTTAAAATCCGTGTGCAAATCCTCTCTTACGACTGGATCAAAAATCAGTGGCACCTCAATGTAATTCTCATTACTTTCTGAGTATTCCCTAAGTGAGAAAACACTTAGTTAAACATAAAGTGTCTTTTCAACATACACACCTACACATTCTCAAGGCCCCACTGTGCTTAAATTGATGTCACGATTTACCAAGTTAGAGGCACTTGCCATTATATTTGTTACGTATTTGGGAGAATTTCTAAGCCTGTTCCTGAAGGTGAGAGGGACCCTGAAGATGCTGGTCACTATGACAGGTTGCTTGTAACAAGGAGCTTGCGGAAGCCAGTTTAGTTTGGATAATGGGGGAGAAATCACTTTTTAAGGCCCATGATAAACAAACAACCAGTAGTAGGAATAGAAATGTCTAGTTTTGGGAAATTGGACTGTATCACCAAGAAATCATTTGCATATTGGAGGGCAGGGAGTTTCCAAGAATCCCGTCCTCCACGGTGTCTACTCTCATCCCCACTCACTGCCAACCCTCACTCTAGAAACTCAAGTGCAGAACCGAGGGCTGCAGATGGGCCGCAGTGGAGGGGTCTCTAATCAACAGCACTGCCATTTGCAATGTTGCAGGAATCCGAAGATGCTTCACTACGATCTGTTAGTGTGAATAAAAATATCATGGATGTGGATCCACTAGGACTATTTTCTTTTTTAATCTATGGGGGGAAAATAGGCTCCTTTAAGCAAACAGATAGTATGAGTAAGCTGACATGCGGCATGTGGGTTCTGCCCAAGTTTTTCACAACGAGGATTTTCAAGCAAACAGTTGCACTAACCACACATAATTTCTATCCACTAAATTGCATCCAGAAAGACCTTTTTTGATAGGCCTTCCCAAAAAGACAAAAATTGGGCCAGCAAAAGTTCAGGCAACTTCAGAGTATTGAAACTGTGATTTTAAAAACACTTTATAATTTGGAACATTGAAGGGTCTGCCTCCTCACCCGCAAATGGTTTCCATTTACAAGGCCTGATTGTTCTACTTTCAGAGTGAGAAAATATTTCCCGGAGATGAAGGCTTAGGAGGACAGAATCCTCGCTTTCTTTCAGAGTAACCTTCCTTAGAGACTGGAAGGAAGCAGAGGTGGCTCTCAGATCCCGTGGCTAAGTTTCAGAGTCGTTTTAAGGGCTGTGAATGTTTGACTCTGCAATGCTCAAGGAAGACAGATCTAATTAAACAGCTAAAAGAGGCAACACCAATGTCAAGTAGGCTGCAGCTCATAGATTTAGAGAGAAGGCTCGATTCTCAAGAACAGTTGGTGATTCTTAGCAAAACGCAATGTTTAAGATTCTAAAAATCCAACGGAGTAGAATAAAAAATATATATTTGTAACGTGATGTGTGTGTCATATTGATGGGTTGGCTAGGACATCGTCTCTACAAGGAAGTGGAGTCTACAGGGGGTTCACAACAGCTCTGCCCAGGGGATGAGGAAGATCTTCCCCCACTTACTGGCGCTGCCCCTTGGTCACGCGGCCCCCCTGGTAGGCATCCTCTATGTGTGTGTTGTTGGCAGTCCACCACAGCAAGGTGGTCGCCTGTATGCCAGCTCCGAGAAACACCTTACACGGGATTGTCAGTCTTGACCCTGTGACGGCAAGACGCAGCACATCAAACGTCAGAACCCAGCCAGGGGACGGGGTCACATCAGCAGATCTGAGCGGTGGATCTTCCCCCCTCTTTTCAGACACCCTCACCAATTCTTTTCTTAGAAGGAAACTTAGTTTCCTCAAGCGATTCCATTCACCTAGAGCATCAGTGTTTACCAAGTGTCTCCAGCTCTTTCCACTGGTCCTCAGGGCAGATGGAAACCCAGAGGCAAATGGCTTCCCCAAGGCCCCTCGGCTCCTACAGAGCATTCTGAATTCCAGAGCTGCCTTTTTCCACAGTTTATTCTTCTTGCCTCCAAAACTCCAGATCCAGAATCCAGAGGATTCTGTCTCTTTGCCCATTGCTGGTCTCTGCTCTCCTGTTTCCCCTAGGAGCTCTCCATCCCTGGTCACGTTCATTTAGGATTAATCCTTTCAAAAGCCACTGTGTTTTACATGAATGGCGCCTTCTACAGTTGTGCAATATGATGGTCCTAGGTCCCCTGCCTCAATCACTATGTTGGGTTTTTTTTTAGTCACCAAAGGGGAGGAGGGGGAATAAATGAAGAAATCCTTCCCGTGTGTTTCTTCCTCGTGGGTAATGTGCCTCCCTGGGGTGCGTGCTTTAATGCACCTGGCCACCTCAAGCTCAGAAAGCCCACTTTTCTTCCTCCTTCACATACCTTATGACCTTAAAGATTTCTCAGCCAAAAACAGCCCACTCATTCTGGCCTCATATGACTCTGCCAGGCACATCAGTGCATGCGAAGCAACAGGGCCGGAGACTCAGCTCCACTGGGCCGGGGAGCACAGAGGAGCAGGGGTGCTGGGGCGCTAGTCAGCGCTAACTGGGGTCCCCACTTCCCCAAGCTTCCAGGAGGCTCTTCTGAGAGCCAAGGCAGCTGTTGGGAGCCGCAACTCAGGTGTCAGCATCAATTCCAGCATCTGTGCAAAAGCCCTCCTTCTCCATGACCACCAATTAAAGTTGAAAATGTAAAAGCCCAAAACACCAGACAAAAGAGGGAGAGAGGTAGGGAGGTAGATAAATAGATAACAGATAGACAGATGACAGATAGATAATAGATAGATGATAGATAGATAGATGATATGTAGATAGACAGGACTCTGCAGCCAGGGTTTAATAAATGAGCATAAGACCCACAAAACCACTATATAAAAACAGACACACAGAAAACGTACAGGCCTCACAGACACACAGGCCTGCGTCTGAACCCCAACCAGACCCGACTATGGCTTTTTGACAGATACTGAGCCAGTGACCCCCTGGGCAGCTTTTCCTTCTGGAAATTTGGAGAAATAACACCTCCCCACAGGGTTGATGTTGGCATTGAATGGCATCTTTTTTTTTTTTAGTTTTTTATGTTTTTTTTTTTTTTTTTTTTTTTTTTTTTTGCGGTACGCGGGCCTCTCACTGCCGGGGCCTCTCCCGTTGCGGAGCACAGGCTCTGGACGCGTGGGCTCAGCGGCCATGGCTCACGAGCCCAGCCGCTCTGCGGCACGTGGGATCTTCCCGGACCGGGGCACGAACCCGTGTCCCCTGTATCGGCAGGCAGACTCTCAACCACTGCACCACCAGGGAAGCCCTGAATGGCATCTTATCAGACTTAGCAGTGCTCAATAAGAAAGTGCGTGCTGGCCAGGATGGTGAAAAATGGTGAAAACCTCTGTCATGCATTTTCATTAACTCCCTTGACCCGCTGACCAGCTATTTTGGTGATAAGATACTGTCTCTGGGGGAACCAGCAGGGGCAGAGTCGGAGTCTTGGGGAAATTCTGAGCATCGGCCAAGTATTGGTAAAGTGAATTATTTTAAATACACTACAGGTGCTGACTTTCTGGGGCATCGTGCCTTAATCCTTTCATGCAGTTAACAGCAGCTACTAGAAAGTTCCGATTTTTGCACTGAGAGTTTTGTAGGCAGGGTTTTCAAGAAGCAAAGTGTACATGTTTTCAGATAATGCCATTACTGACAGTATTTGGTAAAGGGAAATGTTCCCTCTCATTTGCTATTTCCCGCTGGGGTAGGGGGACCTGCAAACCCCACGGCAGGCGCAGTCGGTGACACAGGGGTCCTGGGGCCCCGGCTTTGGGACTGCAGGCATCCAGGTGGGTTACACGGTCCTTACCCAGTGAAGCTGAGATGGTCTGTTGGGGGGAGATGATCACGGGAATGGTCTCCTCTTCTCTGTCTGAGAAAGATACGAGGAAAAGAGATTCAGTTAGATAAGCCTTCATTGCAAGCTGAGGGTCAGGGTCTATTGTTTAGCTAATTAACTAAATAATCCTTTACAGTAGGGCCAGCCATTGTGAGAGTGGGCTTTTGTCTGGCAAAGGAAACCGGCTCTCCAAGAAATTGAGCCTCTTTGGCCAATGCCTTTCCCAGAAGAGAGATGACTGGAAGAAGCCACAGTTAAACACACATTCCACGAACAGCTGTTCTCTGCTCTGTGGTAACAATTAACCATTCCGCTCCCCGACTTCCTGAATGAATCCTTAACAGGAGCGTTCACGATGTCCACAGGATAGGTCTTACCCCAGAGGCTCCTCGCCCCAAAGTATCTCTCCCCCACTCCCTCGCTACCATCCCATGCGCCTGCCACAGAACCCTGGAGTCGCTTCCAAAGAAATAAAAAATTAAAAAGGCACAGGGGCCCCAGAACCACCTGTTCGTGATGCTAACCCCATATACTGAGTGATAAACAGAGTAACCCAGCTTGGTCACCAGGGCTTTTTAGTTGAGGTGATTAACCCTTTGTGGCGGGGGTGGGGG